ACTTTCATGTGTTTAATGAATTTCAGCCGAGGGTTACTTCTGCTATTAATTCTGACCTTACTAGGAAGGTTTCTGAGGATGAGATCAAAAGGGCTGTTTTCTCTATAGGTGCTACTAAGGCTCCTGGTCCTGATGGCTTCACTGGTGCTTTTTATCAAACCTATTGGGATGATATTAAATCTGATCTTATGTTGGCTGTGAGAGGTTTCTTTGAAGAAGGTAGATTTGATACTTATATGAATCATACAAATATTTGTTTGATCCCCAAGATTGATGGTGCTCGCCAGTTATGTGATTTTCGCCCCATTGCTCTTTGTAATGTAAGCTACAAGATCATCTCTAAGATTCTAGTGGAGCGTTTAAAAACTCACCTTGCTAGTCTTATCTCGGAGGAACAGGCTGCTTTTATTCCTGGTCGTGTCATCACTGATAATGTTCTTATAGCTCATGAGCTCATCCATGCTTTGAAAGTCAAGAAGAGATGCTCTAACTCTTTTATGGCCATAAAAACTGATATTACCAAAGCTTATGATCGTCTTGAATGGGATTTTCTCCAAGAAACTATGTGTAAATTTGGTTTTGATGCCAAATGGGTTGAATGGATCATGATTTGTGTCAGAACTACCTCTTATTCAGTCAATATAAATGGTGCTCCCAAGGGTTTTATTAAACCAGAAAGAGGTATTCGTCAAGGTGACCCGCTGTCTCCCTATCTATTTATTCTTTGTGCTGAGGTCTTAAGTCACATGTTGAAGAGAGCTGAAGATAATGGTTCGCTAAAAGGAATAAAGATCAGTAATGGGAGTCCTGCTATTAGCCACTTACTATTTGCAGATGATTCTCTCTTTTTTTGTCAAGCTAATATGAATTCAGTTTCTGTGATTTCTGACATTTTGCATCAGTATGAGCAAGCTTCTGGGCAGAGAGTTAACAAGAGTAAGTCTGCTATTACTTTTGGTAAAAGAGTCTCGACTTCGACTAGAAATCTGATGCGTCGGTGTCTTCAAATTTTTAACGATGGAGGTTGTAGTAAATATCTTGGTTTACCTGAGCAATTTGGTAGAAAAAAGGTGGAGTTATTCCAGTTTATTGTTGAGAAAGTGAGACAAACTACTAAAGGCTGGAGTAATAAGTTTCTTTCTCATGGTGGTAAGGAGATTCTGCTTAAGTCTATTGCTCTTGCGATGCCTGTTTATACTATGAACTGCTTCAAGCTTCCAAAGAGTATTTGTGAGGACATTGATCGTATTATGGCTGATTATTGGTGGAATTCTCAAGATCATCGGAAATCAGTCCATTGGGTGGCTTGGAACCGATTGAAGTATTCAAAAAATGAGGGAGGTCTTGGTTTTCGGGACATTGAAAAGTTCAATGATGCTTTGCTTGCAAAACAGGTCTGGAGAATTCTTCAATTTCCCGATTGTCTTATGGCTCGTACTTTCCGGGGACGATACTTTGCTAATTCTAATATTCTCACTGCATCTAGAGGCACTCAACCTTCTTTTGCTTGGCAATCTATCCTTCATGGTCAACAATTATTAAAGTCTGGTTTGCGTTTTACTGTTGGAGATGGTTCTTTGATTCAAACTTGGCTTGATCCGTGGCTGCCTATCCACCCTCCTCGCCCTCCTAGGAGACTTGATAATAACAGTGAGGTCCATCATCCGTTAAATCAGTTTTTTCTCCCAGATAAGTCAGGTTGGAATATTAGATTGTTGAGAGAACTGGTTCACCCTGATGATATTCCTACTATCCTCTCTATCAAAATTAGCCCTTATCAGAGTAATGATTTTATTGGTTGGCATTATTCGGACAATGGGATTTATTCGGTTAAGACTGGGTATTGGCTGGCTTCTCACCTTCCGGATGCTATCTGGAGAGATAGACCTCCTCATGGTGATCCAAATTTAAAAAGGGATATTTGGAAAACTCACACTGCTCCTAAGATTAAGCATTTCTTGTGGCGTTTGTTATCTCGTGCTTTAGCT